GAAATGTGTCCTCTGCATTTAATCCATATGTGACATCGTGACATAGCAGGGGGCAGCTAATTCAGTGCCCAGGGAGCAGTGCTTGGGGGCGGTACCTTGCTCAGGGTACCTCAGCCTTGCTGGTGTGTGTGTGTGTGTGCGTGTGTGCGCGTGCGCGTGTGTGCGCGTGCACGTGTGTGCGCGTGCGCTCACTAGTTACATCCTAGGATATTAACCAGGTAGTGTATAATATGGCAATTTGCTCAAAAAGGGCTTTCATTGTAGTTTATGACTTATCGGTTGTCTGTGGGAGGGAATGAGATGAGAAATGCTCGGTCCTGTGTTGCAGACCAGCCCGGAATGCTGTGCAGTTTTAAGATCTCGACAGCTTGGTCCTGTGCCTGGTGTCTGAACCCACAGGCTGACAAGAACTTCAGCACAGGTGAGTGAGCGCAGGGCCCTGGGGCTGCATGACCGGGAGGGGGGCTTTTGCTGGGCTGAGCCCTTCCGAACCACTGTGCCGTTGTAGGGCTGTCAAGACGTGTCATCGTGACGGACGCTGTGACGGGCCGGCGGCAGACCTACGGTGTTGGCAGTGACGTGCTGGCACAGCAGTTCGCCCTGCGGGTGAGTGAGCGACGCCATGCGCCGGGCGCAGGTGTGAGTGAGCGACGCCATGCGCCGGGCGCAGGTGTGAGTGAGCGACGCCATGCGCCGGGCGCAGGTGTGAGTGAGACAGCTTGCGGGTGTGAGCAAGAAAATTTTTTGCAGTTGATACTGAGACCACTGAAATCTTTAAGTTCTTGATATCTAATTCGATACCACAGCAAAAACAATTGTTCCATTCAATCATTCAATCCCATATAAATGAGGAATTAATAATAAATGGTAGTAAAACTGTTACTATTATTAAATGAACATTGAAAGTGGCTGTAACTGGGAGGTTTGTTATACAATCGTTAACTGGGGTAATGCAAAGAAAAAGGTAAACGATTAAAACAAAATAAAGCAAACAAAGTTTTTAACAATATTAGAACATTGATTTGTCGAACTCAAAAAATGGCACCTTAAAAATAAAAAAAGTTACAAGTATCATTTACAGGTTTATGGGATATCAAAGAACATAAAATACCCAGAAGCCTTAAACATTCTTTTTGAATGTGCTGTGTGGCGGCTGCAAATGCTGCAGCTCATCTCAGCAACTCCCACGGAACAAACTCTGGCGTTTCCTCGGAATTCCACACCGAGAACAGTGGCAGGTGTCTTGTATCTTTGCATGACCTTGCTCCCCCTGTCATCCGCCAGGCCCCGATCCTGTACAACGGGGGGCGTTCGGGGGAGATCTTCAGCATCGACCTCAGGCAGCGAGCCCGTCGTGGCCACGGCTGGAAGGCCTGTCGCTTCTACCAGGAATCCGCCATCACCTCGGTCCATGTACTACAGGATGAGAACTACCTCGTCGCTGCTGACATGAAGGGAACGGTCTGTCGCTGAAGCCTCTCCTTTTCCCACCAATCCTGTACTTTTATAGCACATCAAATGGAACGATCAGTTAATTCTCCTACCTGTGACCTGTGTCTTCATGGGAACCCCTTGTATCTTTACCCTGCGGATTCCCAACTGGATACAGCAAAGAGCTCAGAGTAACTGTTCCTCTAATAAGCAGAAGTTCTGTGTGTCTCTGGGTGAGCAGATCAAGCTTTGGGACGTGCGCGTCACCAAGGCAGTGCGGCAGTACGACGGGCACCACAACGAGCATGCGTACCTGCCACTGCACGTCTGCGAGCCGGAGGGGCTGCTACTGGCAGGTGAGCAATGGAGCCGCTGGTGTGAGCCGCCCCGTCTGTGGCAGGTGAGCGAGCAGCTTTGTGTGCAGTGTGCTTACGTACCGTGACTCATTCCCTCCCCAGTGGGACAGGACTGTTACACCCGCCTGTGGAGCCTAGGCGATGGGCGCCTGCTGCGGACCATCCCCTCCCCCCACCCTGCCAGCAAGGACTCTGTGCCTAGCGTGGTGTTCTCCTCGCAGCTGGGGGGTCGTCGCGGCCTGCCCGGCCTCCTGATGGCCGTTCGACACGACCTCTACCACTTCCCATACAGCTGTGACTACGGGGACGGGAACGCACTGTCGAAGGGCTGCTGAGGCAGGCGAGCTGCCAGCCACTGCCAACCACGTCTAAAGATGGCCACACGGCTGCTTCCAACGCCTGTGTGGAGGGGGCAGTTCTTGGCCCCAGGGCAAGCTCACACTTGGCCATCAGTCCTTCTGCCATACTTACACTCTCCTCAAATAACCTTTTCTTGAAGGCCCTGTTTTATTAATGACCTCTGCAAGTGCAATTTAGACTAAAGGATCAGTTTATTTTGTGGTCAAACAGTTATTTTATGCAAATGTTCCATATTTCAGAAAGAATTAAAATGTGTAATGATTTACAAAATACATTTTCTCTGCTATATATAGAAATGTGTCATTCTGAAGGGATGTTGACACAAATTAAGACACAATCACTAGGAGAACAGTGTTACTTGCAGGGCAGCTTGGGGATTCTGGTTTGTCACTGGCTGCAGTCAGTCAGCGGCTACAGAGAGCAAGTTGGGGGAGGTATAGAGAGAGTTTCCCCACTGGGATCAGTGAACTCTCAATTATTACACATGCTTAGTTTAATTGCACAAAACGTAGGGGAGTGGCTGTCATGGAAACTGCCTGCAGGACGTGAGGCTCAAGACGACGACACCCGAGAACGACCCTGATCCTCAAAAATCACTGGCTATATTAGCTCATGATGGAAGGACTTGGCTCACGATCCCTCTGATACCTTATCGGGAAGCTTGTGACTGGAGATCAGGTTAGCCTCTTCTGCCTGGAGAATCGGCCGAAGCTTGTGTGGAGGCTTCTCCTTTCAAGACTGCTGCTATTAGATAAACTCGCGTGGCATTATGCGCTAAAAAGTCCTGCAGTGTCAATTTCAACATTATCATTCAGTTGTGCAGTATCATTGATGTTGATATAATGATCCCCAGTCTAGGGTTGGGGATCGCCAGAAAGGTAGAGGAGAGGGGGAGGGGAAGACGGGACAAGCAGGGAACGGGAAAGGGGGACACAGGAAACAAAGGCATCTTTTTTTGTATTTTTTTATATTTATTCACAGACGGTTACAAACACGAGGTGCAACAAACTTCGGGAGTGACCCACGCCAAAATGACAACCAAAACAGCTAACGAACACATCCCAAACTAAGCTAACTCTAAAGGTAATGAAAACAAGAGGAAACAAAATGACAAAGACTAACCAAAACAACAGTAAACACCATGTTCGCAAAAACAACAAGGCAGTCACTCCTTACGCACCTAACAGACATGTACAGAAACCACACAGGCCGAAACACGGTATCCAAAAAGGGCAAGGCAAAGAGAGTAGTCAGGAGCTAAGCAAGAGTTCAAACCAGAAGACAAACAAACCGAAGGCAAAGGTACCAATAGGGCAAAGCAGAAAGTCAGAAACCGGGAAACCAAAACAGTCATATACTCAGTAAGAGTCAGCCAATAACAATCCAAACACAAATCCAAAAATGAGCAGAGCTCTCGAAGGTTGTTTCTGTCCGGCTTAGAATTTGGTCATCCGTGGTCAATGTTGACACACCATAAGCACAACAACAAAATGTGTGTTCTGCATTTAACCCATATGTGACATCATGACGTAGCAGGGGGTAGCTAATTCAGTGGCCGGGGAGCAGTGCTTGGGGGTGGTACCTCGCTCACGGAACCTCAGTGGTGCCTTGCTGGTCAGGGATTTGAACCAGCAATCTTTTGTTGTCAATTACAAGTTCTTGTCAATTACAAGTGCACTTCCCTAACCATTAAGACGCTACAATTGTCATAGTCAAAATATTTTGATATCATTGTTTTGATATAGTTTATAGGCATATATCCCTCCGACTGTAACACGATGATGATACGGTGGATTTAAGATACCCAAATTTGTTCACTTACATTGAGCCCAGCCTGTCTTAAATCTGACAAGCTGTCTGTCTGAGCAGGCTTTGAGATATGGGACCCAGATGTTGAAAGCTTGGAAACTATGTATAAACAGCAGTAGCGGAATATTCTCCAAGGGTCATACTTCTTAAAAACACTATCTGCATAAAATGCGTCTGCATAAGGAGATTCATGTTGCGGTTTTTGAATAGTGCTCTGCTTTCCAATCCGAATAGATCCATTTGCTGAGCAGAGGTTCAAATGTAAAGCTGGGCTTAAAGCTGCCCTTGACTCCTACAGTATGACCAGTGGGATCACTGTCAAACCTGCTATACAGAAATGAGAAAATGTGATAGATGTCTGACGCATCCTTCTGTAGATACAAAGGAAACGAATATCTACTTAATGCAAAGTGATGTTTTTAATTCCAGTAGATCCAGTGCTGGATGGTGTTCAGAGGTAACATAAAGGTTAACAGGAGATGACTGAGTTATAAAACTTCTACAAGGTTCCAGCTCCAAGCTTAGTAAACTTGTTTGTATGTCTGTCAGAAGAACGGATATAAAGTGCGCTCTACTGCCTCCGTGTGGGAAAATTAGTTTCTGCAGAGGTTATTGTGCTTCGGATCGCACTGATCGAAGTACATTCAGTGCAATCTGTATTAAAATTAAGGCAGTTGGGCATATATAATTATGAGTATCTCACTTTCCACTATTAGACATTTTAATACTGAGAAGCTGGAATGAATGCTTAATGAATATTATTGAATTAAATAAGTCGCACATATCAGGGCAAAGCTATCTTAATATTGAAAGAGACCTTTCCCCTAAACACACACGGTACTCCTACAATACTATCAGTTTGCGCAAGAAAAATAATCAGTCAGTGACAATGAAACAGTGGGAACCGACTATCATTCAGATTCTTGGAGCTCAAAAGCATATTATACCGACATTTTGACAATATATCCAAGCATTTTGACTCATGGTTAAAACGATGCTGATTCTACTTTTTGTTTTGGTGACACTGACTAATTCATTGGTGAAGTTATTTGCTTTTGAGACATAAGATAATTGTTTTGGGTGAGTTACAGGCTTTTGTAGGTAAACCGTAGTGTTTGTGTACTGTATGCATGAATTGTTTTGAGAAATGCTCTTTTTTGTTTTGAGTCTTGAGAATGTTAAGCACGTGTCATGAAATGTGCCAAAGCAATCGAGATAAATTGTAATATTGAGCGAAACAAATGACTGCATTTCCCAATATGCACCGCTTTCAAGAAACGGAAGTAATTTGGGTTGTCTTCTCTCAGGCTCGGTGACTTCTTTTGCGTATCTGTCTTTGCATATAAACTAAACCTGGGACTATTTCGTATTGTTCATCGTACAGATTTGCTAACTAATAATTTACGGTTCCGTCCTATACTCCACGATTTTCCAAAAAGTTCTCCAAGTGCAATTCAGGAAGGATTTGGATTCACGCTTAATCATGGCAGATGATGAATTTACCGACATACATGGTAAACCACTTTCGCTGGAATACCGTTTTCATTCCAGTTTCTGTAGAGAGTTCATAGTAAGCGCGCCTAAAGTGTCCTTGCTTAAGGTCATGGTGTACACTTGTACAGTTTGGTTATTTGCCTACGCCGTGTTTTTCGTCACCGAGGTAAGACGGTTCACCAGTCAAGATGCACATGTTACTTTCTGCAGACTTTGGCGGTGAGTCGTGTTAAAGTCGCTTGGTTTGCATTGCAGAACACGGCGGTACTGTCCGCTGCCATCCTTGTGACGCTTGTTGGGATGATGCTGCACATCCACTTCATCAAGATCGACCACGAGACGCTGCTGATCATCGGCTCTTTGGGCATCCAGGTGTCGGCGTCCTATGCATCGGGCAGGGAGAGCACGACTTTCATCGAAATGAGCAGGATCAAGGACATTGTTATTAATGAGGCTATTTATATGGTGAGATCCGAGGAGACATATTCTCCTGAAAGTGTTGACGACCAACGTTAAATAAGCAATTACTTGTATTTGCATTTGAAGATGAGGCATGGCTAAGATCAGCAAATTGACAAGTAAATTAATCCACGTGCTTTGTGATGTGTTTGGTGTCCTTGGGGTGGTTTGTAATTAATATTTTCATAAATCTGTTTCAGCAAAGAGTGATTTACTACCTGTGCATTCTGGTAAAAGAACCGGCAAACCCTGATTCGGTGTCCAACGTGGTGCCGCTCTTCCAGGTATGGCTTCGATGGAAATGATCATAAAAATGCTGTTTTATTTCATGATTTTATTTTAATTAATGTGATCAGTGGTAATTTCCCATAGGCTCTGGGGGCACTGAAGTATACAGTGTAAATTAAAAGCAGATTTTGAAGACATAACAGTAGAAATGCCCTGGGCTGTCTGTGACGTGCTGTGTAATTATTAGTGGTATGCACTATAAAGGAATAATTCTCTGTTTTAATTTCCTCAGAGTTCCAAGCCGAGATTAAATTGCTTGATAAAGGTATATAGAAGTTGCCAAGAAATTCTTGGACAGAGCTAAGTGCTATACAAAGTAAGTCATTATATGAACTGCAGAAAGTCTTCCATCACATATAATCATTAGATCTGACACTGGAAAAAATTCGTTCGAAACTGGAAGGTTTAGGTCCAGAGAGTACAAATCCAGACCAAGATTTCGTTTCAACCAGACAGTTGAGTATAAAGAGACACAGTCACAGAGGACTGAACTGGTTGGTTGCAACAAAATCTTGGTCTGGATTTGTACTCTCTGGACCTGAAATCCCCACCTCTGCCTAATGAACCTTCCTAACGGAGGGACTGAAACATGGCAGCTAGTGTATTTTCACTGGTGCTCAACTTCATTTTTTCATTGCTATTTGAAAACCTATGGCTGGAATACTGCCTGTTAATCAAGCATCTTCATTATTTATAGCCTGCATAGATGTTCAGAGAGTAAATCTGAGAATAAACCATAATTCACAATTTTCATAAAATTACTTATAGTATTTGTATCATATGGTGTGGACATGTATTTTGGAGCACAGTGGTCTTGTTTGTAATGTATATGAAACTAAGAAACTTGCTGTATTCTGTTTGGTTATTGTGCTGTGAGTATTATTTTAAAATGTTCTCATTCTGAATAGAATAGAAGCTTTAGAGACTTCAGTTAACACCTTTACAGATTTATTGGTCCTTCAAAATACTGCACATTTACTTGCTAATTGTTTTTCTTCTGTTTAATTGAAGGGACATGAAGTGAGGAGCACTTTCAGACTCACAATTGAAAGTGAGGTGCACTACTGACCAAAAAAAGGCAGAATTCCTTAAGACTTAAGGCTTTTGTGAGCTTTCGTGGAAACGTTACACAGATTGAGCCGCATCAAAAAACTACACTATGCTGTAAAAGTAAAATCTAATTTTAGCATTACTGCTGTAATGACTTTAACGGAATTTTTTTTAGTCTTTATGTTTAAAACATTGGAATTCCACGGTTTGAGTATCACATTTACTGTGAATGTCACTGATATCAGCTTTTTGGATTATAGTCAGTGTTACTGTGTTAATATAGTCAGCTGAAATATTGATTTATAGCAGATTACTTGAGAATAAAGACCTGTATAGCAAGACTGTGTTTAAAGTAATATAAACCTTATTTTTTAAGAGTTCAGGTTCAGGTTACTTTATTTGTACCCGTAGGTAGAAGTGAAGCTAATTATAATCTTGACTATTTTTGTACACCATTTATGATGATCAGTATTTGTTTTTTGTAACATCTGTACATCCAAAGACTGTTAAATTCAATGTGGATTCTCTGAGATTTATTAAAATTGAATTTTTATTTATGTATTTGATTCTCATTTTATTTTTGCTGGCTATTGGTTTCATTGTAAACAGTTACTCTGCATGATTTAATTTTTAAAATATAAAACCTTACCATAATGGTGACCATTTCTGTCTAGTTTAAGAAAGTGATTGAGTGACAAAGGGATGTCTTTTTTACTATGAAATGACAATATTGTCGTTGTTTTCTGTGTGCACATCAGGAAGGGCATACTTCTGAGTTTCTTATCGAACATAATTCAACAGCATTATATTGATTAAATGATTATATTCTGATACATAAACTGGAATTATTTGCAACAGATTTGGTTCCCAACACTGAATTTCATATTTAATCCTCATATATGAACTGTTTCATTATATTAAGTCATAAATGCACTTAAATGTAATCTGAAACTGTTTCACATATTACTGCAGAGAAATTCCACATGATAATAATACCTGATCAGGATACATCTTTGGAAGATAGATGGATAAATAATACTATGGGAAAAATGAAATTCTTTGGCACGTAATCGTTTACAAGACAATTGCAGGTCAAGTTTAAATCATAAAAGCGTTGTTAAACCTGGGAAAGTTTAAGACGAGGCTGGTTTGGTGGCTGAAAACACCCCTGCAATCTGCTGTGTATGTGCAGCATGTCTCCTGTGATGAATCCCAGCACAGGAGGAGGTTCCCTGTGGTAACTTTTGTCAAGCAATAAATTTTGTCTATGAGCCATTCAGGCTGCAAAGGCTCTGAGGGCAGATAAGGAGGCATTTGTCAGAGGAATCTGAGAGCAAATGATGCATAACCTGTGGTCTAGTGACCCACATCCTGCTTACAGAGGAATCCAGGTAATACACACATCCAAATCTGTTCCTCTGAGAGTCGCAGTCTGGGCAGGTGATGGAACAGTCCTTACAGATGACAGTCAGCTATATCTGTCAATTAAACACAATGAATTCAGTAGATCAGATAATCCAACTGAGTATAGGAGTGTTTAAATACTGGGTGTCATGCAAATTTAAAGTTGAATAAGATAAACCCAAAGTTTTGATCACTGGGCCTGCAGGGAGTGCTTGGTCCCATTGGATCCAAGGTGAAGTTGTGTGTTAAGAACTTGGGAATTATCTTTGATTCTCAGTGAAATTTTTCTCTACATGTAAAGAAATTAGGTCAATCTTGTTTCTTCCAATTAAGAAACATTGCAAAAAAATCACATGTGCCCTATCTTTTCAGGACACAGAAATAATTGTTCCTGTATCTGTCATCTCACCTGGACTACTGCAATTCCTTATTTACGTGCCTTCGTCAGAAAACTCTGATGTGGCTTCAATTGGTTCAAAATGCGGCGCCTCGACTTCTTACAAAGTCTAGACGCTTTGATCATATTAGTCCAGGACTGGCCTCCCTCTTCTGGCTCCCAGTGACGTTCAGAATAGAGTTCAAACTATTGCTGCTAACCTATCAAGCCATACATGGCGAGGCTCCTGAATATCTTGTTGAATACCTTAAATTGTTGACTGTTTATTCGAGTTCTGGGTGCCTAAGGTCCTCTAGCCAAGGTTTGTTAGTGGTTCTTAGAACCAATATAAAGTGGAAAGGGGACTGTGCTTTTGCCGCTCGTGCCCTGAGATTATGGAATATTCTCCCCCTGCCTGTTAGGGAGTCTGACTCTTTTGCCACTTTTAAAAGGCGACTAAAGACACATTTTCACTCCTTAGCTTTTACTAGCAGTGAGTCAGTATGACTTTTTATTAGTTTTACGCATTACGGCCATGTGGCACGATTCTGAGGGTGATCCGGCTTGCAGGATCCTCATAGCTGAGGACCCGAGCGGCTGGATGAGGGCAAGAGGACTCTCACCCAACACCTGGCTGTGGCAGATACTGTAGATGGGCACTTGGCAGGAGGGCCTGACCCGCGTGCCAGGCATGCTCCCCAACCTGACCTGACCAGAGCAGCCCACAGGGAAAATGCAATATGGCCAATCCAGCGCAGTTCCTACAGGCCACCTTGTGTTTAGGGTTTGTGTCTTGCAGTGGCCTAGCTTTGTCTCCCAGGGTGAATTCCAGCCTTGTGCCTTGTACTGCCCGAAAGCTGCTTATACTGTTCGGGATCACGGTGGTACTGCAGCATATCCCAGGCAGTACGGACCCCAAATTTGGGCTTCACCCTGAACTGTATGCCAGTCCATCTCAATGAACATATGGACTTCAGCGTCAACATCATAAAGTCATATCTGCAGCCTTACTGAAATGTAAAAGTACATGTAACCTGTGTAACAACCACGTCTAAAGCTAGTTTTATAGGCAATGCTTGATGATAATGTTTAACATGGATGAGGTGAACATTGATTTAAGTTGGTTTTATCAGTGGAGTTGGTGTCTTGGGTTGGATGCAGAGTTTCATTAGATACATTTTAATCTTATTTCAAACTTCCCGTATCCCGTATTTTGAGGGATGGGTGGCAACCCTAAACTTAGGTGGCATACCACTTTCTTGGTGGTAACGGACAGAACATTTCGAGCCACGAACGGCAGAAAACGCGTAATCATAACTTGTGCTTAAGTCCAAAATCCACGAGCATTGCGCGAAATCTCGCCCAGAACGAACTGCGTCTTTGGCAATCACGTGACCTTGGCTAACTGCCTTCCTTTAGTAAGAGTGGGAAGCAGGTGTCAGCTTATGCGTTACACCTTCGTGAGCACTCTGGAATATAACAAGACTGATGCTTTCTACACTTATTTTATCGGTCACACTAAAAAGACAGAAAAATATAAGAAATAATATAGTGCAATACATAACTGTAAAAAAATGTCACAGGAGAGAACCAATACACACAGTAAGATAATGCTACTTCCGATTTTTAAAGTAGATAAAACCTCGCGATACATAGGGCAGAAACTTCGTCACGAATCGACGTCATGCAAAAGGTTCGGCAATCATCGGGATTTTCAGACTATTCCAATAGAAAACTGATAGCGCAAATGGAATACCCTCAAAAAAGTATTTAAATATTAGATACGTAGCCAAATGTAGTCATTTCTAGTTAATACTGGTGCGTGTTGGCGCATGATGTTATATTGGTAACAAACTTTGAACAAAAACCCGGTATTTAATCGCGAAATAGTTTCTGTATTTGATTTGTATGCCTGTTCCCTACTTTCTCCTCGCTATGGCGCCGTGTCCCTGCTCTCTCAGTTACTGAAAGTGGCCGCCTCTCAGCTGCTGCCGGCTCAGCGCTCACAGACTCGTTCGTTGCCCAGAACCGCCATCTTGGAGACAGAGAGCAGAGAGCTGGCAGCAGCTGAGAGACCGAGAGAAAAGGGGACAAGGGGGCCGAGGTGAGCTAGTGCTTTTGAATAACATGGTAGGGGAGCCATGGGGAAGATGGCCGGGAGGGAGAGAAAGTATTAGAATGCGGGGATCGGGTGGTAGAGGCCGCTTTCTCTCTCCGCCTGCTAACGGGGAAAGGAGGAGAAATTTTGGACTGGATTGTGGGCCTCGCCGAAAAGCAAAAACACACCAGGTTCAAAGTCTTAGTCTGGATAGTGAACTAATACTTTCATTTACCATGAATGGTGGTGGCCTTAAAGTGACAGAACCTATTTGAATAATCAAATGCTGAAGAAGTCAAAGTTTTAAAATACTGTGGTGTCCGACCTACTCAAAACAAAGGGCCCCAACTCGCTCCAAAGCCCCGTATTCAAATAAACGAGACAGTAGACGGCCAAGTGCGGCGTTAAATTCGCCGGATTTTATTTCAGTACTAAGTTCTTTGATCGTGGGATTTTGTGATGGCAAACAATCCAAATTTGTATCTGACTAAAGTACCATTATTGGAAAGTTAGCCGTTCTGTGATGCGATCTTATCTCATACCGATAACACATGACCTCGTACACAAAATATTCATTTTCTATACGCGTTAATGATCCGTCTGCTTGTGCTTCGTGTAGGTAACCAGCTAGGTTATCGATACAGGGTAGCTAGTGCTTATACTGCACAAGTGTGCGCCACCACGGGCGAATTCCACACGTGTAAAACGGTAAAACCCAACCACAGGTCATCGATCCCCTTTATTATTTAACCCCCATTTTTACTGCACACGACTTAATACTGTCACTCATAAGACATTTAAGATTCACATTACCACCAACACTCAGAATTTAGTAAATACGACTGCAATGCACTGAGTTGAGGCTAGTTAGCATTAAAGCTAAACCTTTAGAGCAAATACGGGGTTGGGATTCAGAGCTGGGTCACGATTGGATCGCCCCGCATTACGTATGAAAAGTTATAGTCGAGGGAAAATATCCCACCAGTTTAAAAGCATATAATAACGCGATTTATATACTATGTGTTAAGTTTAGTCTTTTCCATTTAATCACATTAAATTAATGGCAGAGTGTTGGTATGCGTAATACGGAATGCAAATACAGAAAGTGTGTAACTATGATATATGTAATTTGGTTGCATTTTAAAAACACTTGATAAAAAAGTTTGTAAGCATTGTGTGTTTTTGAATTAAACACAAGGTCCGAAAAACTGAGATATGCATTATATATTCAGAACAATTTATTTAAATGTTTAGATTAATAAGTTACGAATTATAATCAGTCATTAAGTTTGTCATTTTAAAAAGACTGGCGTTGTACCTGACTGTGTGCTTACTTGGTGACCTTGAAAAAGGACAGTCTTTTTCGATTAACAGGCGGTTTTAGGAAAAGTTGGTGCCACAGCTAAAGGACAGAGAGATTCCGATTGGCAGAGAGGCCCATAATGCATGTCCAGTTTGCACAGGACTATGTGCCTTCTGTTGCACAATAACCGCACTCTATTAGAAATCTTGTGTTTTTACCCACAGGATATGCATAGGGCATCTAGTGTGTATGTATATTTGTTCATTCACAAGATGAAAGCATAAAATTGATTTTAAAATATGGCTTAATTGTACTGTTTAAATTACTGTGTAAGAAATCATCCATGAATTGTTAGTTCGGGCATTTATATTGAGAAGTCCATTGGTATATTCTACACCTAGTCAAGGCTTTGTCTCATTTTAATGGCCTGTTATGAATATAATTTATTATATGTACAATAATTTCCTTACAGCTGTCCAATAAATTCTAATACATGAATCGTGTGTCACCTGTATTTCTGCCTGCCTACCGTTTCTGTGTATGTCGTTGTCACTTGGTCAGCGTGTGGTGTAATGCGTAAGGAACATAAAATGTCCTTTGTTCGTATTATTGGAAGACTATCTGTGCACAGGTGATTGTTTTACAGATTGGTAACAAATAGCTTTTAAATATGTAAGTTCCTCCTGGTAAAAATATTTGGCTGCTGCACATTTAATTTAATAACAACATAAGAACAAAGTATTTTGATATAGATAAAAGCAAGAGCTCACAAAAATGCCAGTGTCAGTATGAGTCTTTCCTTGAGATCGTTATTGGTGTTGTGTAGTAATTGGATGATGCTATTTTCATTTATTTCCATACTCTGTGATGTGACTGTCCTTATGCTGCAATGCATTATATGTCGATCATTTATGGATATTTGCTTTCATGTGATTTCAGTTTTAATCTAGAAGGAATTCCTATAAAATCTTCCAGAATTATTTTGCATTTGCAAATTTAAAGCTCCATATTAATGCTTAGCTCAGGGTATAAAAAGATAGATAAATTAATACCATTTATCTTTGTTTCTCATTCTCTCATAGGAAAAAAAATATATACTTTATTAGAATCGTATTGACAGGTATACAGGTATGTGAAATTATTATTATTATTATTATTATTATTATTATTATTATTATACCCCCACAGGTTCTATGTTAAATGGAATTAAACTCTTGTTCCATGTATCTTTTCCTGTCTTCTTATAAATGATAATAGTGCTTTTGCCTTAATGCCGTTTGTTGGGGCGTATAACCTGAGTCTGTCCATGCAGCTGTCATTTAATGAGGTAAAATTGAAGGAAAATAAATGTTGGATTTTTGTTTTTCTTTAGGCTGCAGCTATTTCTCAGGATTTCACTTCTGAAATGAAGACCGTATTGTGATATTTTAAAAGGTTGTCACCTTTGACTTGTGATGTTTAAATGTATCATGTTTAAAATGTTTTGTTAAAATGTATGTCAGCAGACCACAGTTAAAGCAGAGAAAACTCACTTCTTTAAAATGTAGCATTTAAAATGTAGCACTTTAAGATTATTCATGTTACAGATCAACTGAAATGCAGGTGTTATACAGGCATGTAGGTGACTAGTGACTCTGTGCATTCTGCTGCATGCCTTTGGCATGGCGCTGTGTTGGGGTCCTGTAGCTGTGCTGAGGCCTTCTCCCAGATGGCCCTGGAGCAGGATGAAGGCGAGGAGTCTGTATGCTCCAGGCTGGCCCGACCCCTCCATCTGCAGTACCTGGAGAGGTCCTTGAGGCTGGATGCCTTCCTTCGGCAAACAGCCACCGTCTTTAACAGAGATGTGTCCAGGTAAGGGAGAGCCGCACTGGCAGGTATGTGCAGCAGCGAGAGGCTCTCTGGGAAGTCGCGAGGAGTCCGACACCCGTGTCTCTGCTCTCTCGCTCAGTGATGACAGTGACGAGGGGACAGAAGATGCTCTTTCAAGTCCCCAGACACCCCTGCAGACGCTGCGGGGGGCAGATGCAGGGGATACTGCTTCGGGCAGACTGGTGGAGAATAGCGCCCTCAACGGAGCACTCCTGCAAGGTGCGTAACACGCCTCTGAAGCCAGATGTTCACATTCCACCCTGAAAGGAAGTGACAGAAGCTGAGTTGAAGCCTCTAATGCCCCTGCAGAAAGCAGAGCTGACAAGGCGAATCTCTACAATTTCTCCAAACTGAAGAAAAGTAGAAAATGGCTGAAGGTATGTACAGATCCAAACAGGATTTGAACGCATGCCTGCGCAGCTAGGTTTGCTATTTGTTTAGTTTTGGGTGCTTAGCTGAAGGAGAAGGTTCCTTTTGATGGGCGACTGCCTTCTGCAGGGGATCCTTCTGAGTGACGATACCACGGACTCGGACTCGGACTCGGACGACTCAGACTTCTCCATGTCGCGGGAGGAACTGCAGGACATGCTGCGGCTGCACAAGTACACGAGGGAGCACCAGTGCCGCCTGCACACGGACCGCGAGGTGCGCCCCCTATCTGGCCCACGCGCACTGCAGGTCAGAGGTCGACAGATAATAATGATAATTTTAGGGAGATACTGTCATGGCAGTATTTTGGAGAAAATGTGCATCATACAAAGAAACCAGCAAACTTTTAAAATCATTAGCCTGCGGTTTGCCTCAGAAGCTGCAGCATTTACATTTAGCACGGTAAAAATTGTGGGTTTCCTGACAAAAATGCAAAGACCTGCTCTGCAGCTCAGCCAGTGACCCCAAATCGCCTTGGCGTGCCAGCTGTGGTTTCCATGTTGTGAGTTAAACAGCGACTATAACCGGCTGTGAACTGAAAAACAGGGACTGTGTTTATATGATTCCAGTTGCAACAGTACCAATACTACAGCGCCGGGCTCCTGGCTACCCATGATCCCTACTATGAACAGCAGCGCCATCTACTGGGTCAAAAGAAAAAGAAAATCAAAGAAGATAAGAAGCTGAAGGGTGTGTACTCTGACGGACTGCCAGTGGGTCAGCTGGTGACCCAGCAGAATCAGCGTCAACGATTAATTCCCACTCCTTGTTTCTACCTGCAGCCAAATTAAAGAAGGTGAAGAAGAGGAAGAAGAGAGGCGAAGACTTCTCTAACGATGGCCGGCCTTATATCACCAAAATATTTGCCAAGTTTTCCCATGATGCTCCTCTTCCTGTGTCAAAGAAGAAACACCTCACGGTTGAGCAGCTGAATGCTCGTCGGCGCAAAGTTTGGCTCACCATTGCCAAAAAGGAGAACCCAAAGGCGAGCAGGATCGACCCAAGACACTGTAGCCGCTCTCTGCTTTTCTGGAGCTCACTGCTGGTGCTGATCTATGTAACATTGTTCTTTCTCATTGCAGGCATTTAAGCAAAAAGCTTCAGCTCGGAATTTTGTCTTAACCAATGCTAAAAAGGTAATACTATTGATTTATAACTACTAATCCTGGTAGATGCAGATAAATGGAACAGAAGCCTTTGCTAAGTTGTTTTGGGAGAGAATTTGCTGGAATCGACCATTTTTACGCTGTGTGTGCTGGTCTGGCTCAGCTGGCCCAGCAGTGCATGCGGGAGGTCCGCCGAGCCGCCATCCAGGCCCAGAAGAACTGCAAGGAGACGCTGCCCCGAGCACGGCGCCTCACCAAGGAGATGCTGCTCTACTGGAAGAAGTATGACAAGGTGGAGAAGGAGCACCGCAAGCGGGCCGAGAAGGAGGCGCTGGAGCAGCGTCGGCTGGACGAGGAGATGCGAGAGGTAGGCCGTAGCTCCCTTCTTCACCGGCATGGCACCCCCTACTGGTCTGGGATTAGATGTCAGGCTTGTTTCGAGCTGCCGGTGGAAGAGGGTGGTTGGAGATGTTTTACAGACATGTTGCACAGTGAATGCAGGTGATCCTGGAGTATCCGAGCCTGCGGTTCCCCCTGCCGGCGGGAGGCCTGACACGCTTTGGTCGTCTTTGCCGCTTCAGGCCAAGAGACAGCAGAGGAAGCTGAACTTCCTCATCACCCAGACGGAGCTGTACGCTCACTTCATGGGGGGCAAGCACAGGGCTGGTGCAGATGCAGCCACGGAGGAGATCCTCAAGAAGCTGGAGGACAACTCCGCGCACCGGCAGATTGACATCGGCGGAGGGGTGATAGTCAACGTCAGCCAGGAGGAGTACGGTGGGTTCAGGCCTCTTCGCCCTGGTCGCGGCAGAGCTGTGAAGGTGCGGTCACTGTAGCACGAAAAATCATCATCTTCACAGAGCCGAGCAAAAGTGGCTGTGGAACAGGATGCGACAGTGTTAGTGCAGTGAAGTCAGTAGGGAATAACGTTAATAAGGAACAAGTCAAATATAGTTTGCCTTAAAATGTATGTTTGAAAACTACTTATTAATTCTTTTTCTTGTACCTTGCCAGTTAGTGTTGGTGAAATGAGTAGCACATGGTGGAATAAATGCATATCGTAGTATTAGCCTTCTAGCCTGATAAGCTTGGTATGACGCATGTTACATAGAGATTTAATAAAATGTGCTGTAATGTGTTTTTTACCTTCAAGACCTGACTGAATGCTCTGTGCCATCATACAGTTTTTGTCCTGTTTACGAATTTACATTCTGGGAATTGACAGTTAAAAAGAATTGATTGCTCCACGGCCCACGGCCGGTGAAGGTGAAATGTCAACCCCACCCACTCCGCACCTGATTGGTTGAGCTAGGCGAATTTGTGGGTAAAAATTCAATTAAGATGAACTTGCTGTGAAATCGCTCTGCTATCTGAAGTAAGGAATCAGATTTTTGCATCATGCAGCTATAGTGGAAGTGAATGAGATGCAGATATTTTTTTGCTCTAGTGTGACCGCTCCTTAAGAATGTTAGTGTCAGCTGCAGAGTACGTCCTTTATTTCTTGTTGTAAAAATAGTTGAATGTTCTTTTTTTCCACAGACAGCAACTACTACAAGTCCCAGGCCCTGAGGAATGCAGAAGAGGCTTACCAGATACACCAGGCTAGGGTATGTCCATTAGCACGTAGCCCTCACTCAGCCCACGAGTAAGCAGGCCCCTTGTATCTCTTTGGACTGCTCCTTTGAATTTGCATTCTCCATAGATCCGTATCCCATTCCCTGCGTGGGTGGTGAGTAGCGGTCACTGTGTTTTTGTGGTGTAGAGTGTGGCTGTGCGGTTGCTCTGGCTCCCCTAAACAGCCTCACGTGCTCCCGCTTCCCCTAGACACGGCTGTTCGACGAGGAGGCCAAGGTCAGCCGCTTCGCCTCCCTGCGCGTGGGCCCCGCCTCAGACTCCGGCTTCGGGGAGAGCTACAGCCTGTCCAACCCGTCGATCCGAGCCGGCGAGGACATCCCGCAGCCCTCCATCTTCAACGGGAAGCTGAAGGGCTACCAGCTGAAAGGCATGAACTGGCTGGCCAACCTCTACGAGCAGGTGAGCCTCGCGCTTGTGTGCAGCTGGAAACGGCAGTTAAAGTGGCGCGGTGAGGAAATGCCGGGGGCAGCTGTGACTGTGGGGTCTGAAAGTGACAGGAAGCCTTTGAAGAGCTTCGGATGGCTGTGAGTATGAACTGTCTGAGAAAGGTGGGTGACAGGCTGCTGTGGCCATTTGCTCTCCGGTCTCTGTTAGGGTATCAATGGCATCCTGGCAGACGAGATGGGTCTGGGGAAGACAGTGCAGAGCATCGCCCTGCTGGCTCACCTGGCGGAGGTATGTGACTGGGAGCCCGTGGAGGCTGCTGGCAGCCCCCCCACCCCATTGCTGTTGCCGTGCCAACCTGCTCGCAGCTCAGGGTGATGTGCCCGGGTCAGCTTACACGCGGGGGGTCTTAGCTCAGGGTTTCTTATGTGTGTTTGTTCTGGGTTTATTCAGGGTTTGTTCTGTTTTTCACAGAGAGACAATATCTGGGGTCCCTTCCTGATCATATCTCCGGCCTCCACGCTCAACAACTGGCACCAGGAATTCACCAGATTTGTTCCCAAATTCAAGGTAACTGTGTTAGTGCGAGTGTCCCAGCATCAGTGGGGGAATGAATAGATTTAGTTTTCTCAACCATTTCTCCTGATTCATGGATTGAAAAAGTTTGGAGAACAGGGTTTGAGTCTCCATGTGTGTGGAGTTTGCATGTTCTTAGCCATGTTGTCGTGGAGTTTCCTCTGGGTACTCTGGTTTCCTCCACAGTCGAAATATGTGCTGAGGCTTATTGGAGTTTTCAAATTGCCTTTATGTGTGGGTGAGTGAGAGAATGGTAAGTAAATGTTGTTCAGTGAGTGTTAGTGACTGAATGAATGTTGGTGTTTGAGTGTTAGTATGTGAGTGTTAGTGAGTGAATGTTGGTGAGTGAATGTTAGTGATTTAGTGAATGGTGAGTGTTAGTGAGTGAATGGTGAGTGAGTGTTAGTGAGTGAATGGTGAGTGAGTATGCCTTGTGATGAGTGGGGTGGCACTTTCAGGATATTTACTGATCTACCATTTCTTTGGAGATTACAATACATGCATTGAGATTTGTTTCCTATTTAAACTGCTGATTTACTTGTTGCTCATATTAATGTTTCAAATGATACCAAGAGCTTATTTACCAAGAGCACGGCATTGTTTGCTTTGGGATGGGTATGTGCATGTTCCTGTGTGCATGCTTACATCGCAGATGTTACAGCTGAAAGGATAATTCGCTTCACCATATGGTTGCAGACAGGATTCTAGTAACATTTTACTCTTAATTTCTTTATATAAAAACCTGTATGGAGAGGAAGTTATCCAGTATTACACATGAGACCAAATTAATACCAGTGACACAGAAGTCATATGCAGATTAGGTGTTAAGATTTTCCATAAAGACCCTTTATTTCTTTTGAGCAAAATATTCAGAAGGAAGTTGTTAGAAAATGGCCAAGAAAAGCTTGCTGATGTAATTGCGGTAAAATGGAATATATGTAAAAAGTGACACACATAATAAGAGGGTTGCAGTGTGAATCGGCTGGCATCCATGCTTCATAGCTGTTTGCTTTCTCTCCTCAGGTCCTGCCATACTGGGGTAACCCTCATGACCGAAAGGTGATCCGAAAGTTCTGGAGCCAGGTACAGTGAAGTCCTGTTTATCGCCATGTGCTTTTTGGGGGCGGGGCGTAAGGCGCCCCTCCCCCACGCTACCCCTCCCCTGCGTTGACCCCCTGTGCTTCTGCCCACAGAAAACCCTCTACACGCAGGACGCCCCCTTCCATGTGGTCATCACCAGCTACCAGCTAGTGGTGCAGGACGTCAAGTATTTCCAGCGAGTCAAGTGGCAGTACATGGTGTTGGATGAAGCCCAGGCCCTGAAGAGCAGCACCAGGTGCCATGAGCCTTTCTGACGGCCGGATATAAGGAAAACAATGAATGGCAGCTTCCTGTGCGCATGAAGATTTCTGTTGGTGCTAGTCTCTGTCCACGAGATGTGGAAAATCAGAGAAGAATCTGGCGTCTGCGGGTGGGAAGCATTGCCCATTGTGGGTGGGAAGCATTGCCCATTGCGGGTGGGAAACATTGTCCACTGCGGGTGGGAAGCATTGCCCATTGAGGGTGGCAGGCAGGATGGTGCTGCTCAGAAAGCTGTCAGGAATTGGCTTAACTTCATTTGCTTCATTTAAAAACATACCGCTTTTTAAATGGGTGAAAATTCTGTCACCCGTAAGTCATATGAAATAAGTCATGACCCTTGCTGGTTTGTCCTCGCTGCCTCTTTCCACAGCGTGCGCTGGAAGATTCTGCTGCAGTTCCAGTGCAGGAACAGGCTGCTGCTAACGGGGACACCCATCCAGAACACCATGGCAGAGGTGCCCCCTTCATTCTCACCTTGCTAGAATGGATAGCAGAGCCTGGCCACTGTCGGGACTCAGCATGTGGCATCACACCTTCCCAGATGGTGATGAAGCTGCAGTCCCAGCAATCCATGAAATGGGAGGCCAGTCGATCATAGAATATTATACAGAATAAGAGAGAATATCATCAAATATAGGGATGATTCAGGCCCTTCGACACTGTGGTGGAGCCAGCGATGCCCCCTGCTGGTGTATAACAGCGCTGCTTCCTCTTGCTTTGTTTCTTAGCTCTGGGCTCTTCTTCATTTCATCATGCCCACGCTCTTCGACTCGCACGAGGAGTTCAACGAGTGGTTTTCCAAGGACATCGAGAGCCACGCTGAAAACAAGTCTGCCATAGACGAGAGTGAGTGTTTGGCGCATGACTTCCCTGGGGTGGGTCTGTGGTGAATGGCCAAAGCAAACCCACCCGATGGAGGAATGCGAGCTGTTTCCCAGAATTTATGCTCTGCCTTCTACTGTGTAACGTTAAATATTTGACATAATATGACAGCCATTGAAATGAAGTCATTAATATTTCTGGAGACGAGAGGCCGTTGTTGAATTTGTGTCTCTATGATGGTTTTTAAAGCTTCAGAAAATGTCAGTGTGGTGGTTAAAGTCTTGCTGTTTTGTGCCTCAGATCAGCTGTCCCGGTTACACATGATCCTGAAGCCCTTCATGCTGCGAAGGATAAAGAAGGATGTGGAGAATGAGCTGTCTGATAAGGTATTTTCGCTACTCTCAGCTTTCTCATGTTACAGTTTTAACAGTGTCAGCATAGTAGGTTTATATTTTATGTTGTTTTATACTTTTTTATTGGGACGTATATATGAGTAGATATTTTGAGATGATTTACTTCCAGCTTAGTTGGTGAATCTGTTCTTCCAGCTGTTGCAAATTGTCAGTCTGTAGTGATGGCAACTAATACACTAAAGATGTGCCAGAAAGCCCTGTGGTCAGTGGAAGCCCTGTGGTCAGTCTCCTCAGGCCGCGTATCCGTCTGCCTCCCTGTAGATCGAGATCCTGTCCTACTGCCAATTGACTGGCCGGCAGCGGCTGCTCTACCAGGCGCTGAAGAACAAGATTTCAATTGAAGACCTGCTGCAGTCATCCACCGGCACGGCCCAGCAAGCCCAGAGCACCACCAGCAGCCTCATGAACCTCGTCATGCAATTCCGCAAGGTAGGGGGCACTGTTAGGGTAAGGTCGTCAGAGTAGGGTGTGCTGTTGTCCCTTAGGGTGGGATCATCAGGGTGGGGGGGGGGCGCTGTTGTCCCGTATGGTGGGGTCATCAGGGTGTGGGGGGGCGCTGTTGTCCCGTAGGGTGGGGTCATCAGAGTATGGCGCACTGTTAGTGTAGGTGTGTTAATTGTCTGTGGAGCTGAGTGTAAAGGTTTCTGTGGTATGTTGCAGCTGGACTTACATGCTTACTATGTCGTCTGTTGGCAGGTGTGTAATCACCCGGACCTGTTTGAACGCCAGGAGACGCGCTCGCCCTTCCACATGTCCCTGCCGCCCTACGTCATGTCCAAGTTCTTCTACTGGCAGGGTTTGATCGCCAACATAGGCCACTGGCATGCCAGGTCAGGAACTTCAGCCTCCTCGCGCTCCTATCGGCCTCCTCGTGCTCCTATCGGCCTCCTCGCGCTCCTATCGGCCTCCTCGCGCTCCTATCGGCCTCCTTCGGCCTCTCCCAGTCCTGCTCAGCTTCTTCTCACTAAGCCCCCCAGAATTTCCCTCACGCTTATTATTCTCTAGATCATTCTGCAGGAGTATGTGTCTGAGTTTTGATTTTCAGTCATTTTTCTAAGTTTCTTGCTCACTTTGGAAGAAGTCCTGTGATCATACACAGCCAAGAGCATTTCCATGCTAGCGGTGTGTATACGTTGTAGCTGCTCATGCTCACTGTCTCCCCCTGCAGGCTGCTCCAGGTGCTTCTCTCGCCCTTCTCTGCCCAGCACATCCAGCAGTCTCTGTTCCACAGAAAAGGTGAGCTTCACGTGCAGCCAGCCCCCCTCGACGGGCTGCTTGGACCGCAGCCTGGTGCCTTTCTAACAGCTGTCCCGTCCCGCTGTCAGGTGACCATGAGGGCAGCAGCTTCTCCTTCCTCCGCTTCATAGACATGTCCCCGGCCGAGCTCTCCAGCTTGATGCTTCAGGGCACGTTGGCCAGGTCAGCTCATGGGACGTCGCCTTTTCTCGCTGAACGCATGCACCTCTTGCTGGAAGTGTGACGCCCCTCGATGCCCTCTTGCTGCTCCAGGTGGTTAGCCCTCTACCTGTCTCTGAAGTCCTCCTACCGGCTCCACCAGCAGCGATTCTGGGCCTCGGCGGGAGAGGGGCAGAGCCCAGAGAAGTCGTCACGGTGCTTCTCCCGGAAGGACTTCATCCTCTGGCTGGACTCCCCCACCTCCTTCCCAAGTGTCCGGAACAGCCCTGTCCTACAGGTGAGTCTGCTGGGGCATTCCGGTCCTGTGGGTGAGTCTGGCGGGACGGCCTTGTCTTCCCGGCGAGTCGAGCAGAACACCCCTGTCCTCCCGACGAGTCGGGGGGGCGGTCCTGTCCTCCCGGCGAGTCGAGCGGGGCGTTCCTGTCCTCCCGGCGAGTCGAGCGGGGCGTTCCTGTCCTCCCGGCGAGTTGAGCGGGGCATACCTGTCCTGCGACGTCACATGGGTCGTCTCTGTGCTCCCCATCGTTCTATTCGGTTCCTCAGCAACAGACCCCCCAGGCTTTATATCCAGAGGGGGGAAGCTCTGTGTCTGCTGGCTCATGCTGTGTACTTCATCACTGTTTATGATAACATCTTTGACATAAAAATAGACATTATAATGTGTTTGTGTCAGGCTGCGCCATTAGGGTGTGTCCTTGTACTGTGACTCAGTGGGTAGTGCCCTTTGTCACCTCATGCCTACAGCGTCATGGGTTCGAATCCCCCCTCCAATCCCCTTCCTCTCACTCCAGGGACTATGGCATTCTCCATATGGTATCCTCCTGCAGTCCAGTGACATGTGCGGCTAATTGGCATTTTGACACTGTGCTTGGTCCAGTCCAGGTCTTGGGATTGGATATTCAGTTATAACTGGAGAACAGAAAGAAAGCCCTGCCTCTGAAGTTGTCTCTGTCATATTTTTATGTGGATTGGTGCTGGTGAATAATACACGGTTACTCAGCACTGGCCATCTGTTGCTTCTCATTTGGTGGCTCTTGTTTAAATAGAATTCCTACCATGTCACTTCTGTCTTGCAGAACCTGGTGTTCATGGGCTTGCAACCCTGGCTGGGTGCCCACGTCGATGTCCTGGTGCACGGACGACGGACTGGTGTCGCGCTCCTCAGGTCCTGCCAGCCAGTGCTCTGGCCCAAGTTCCTCTTCGCTGCTGCTCCCAGGGTGAGAGGAAGCCACTGCTCAGGGTGTCGGTGCCGACCGTAAGCTGCCTCTAAGGGTGTCAGTGCCGACCGTAAGCTGCCTCTCAGGGTGTCGGTGC